TATGCAGTAAACCAAACCTGACACTTGACCTCTTTTTCCTCTCACCCCATGGCCTCAAGGGGAGAAGTAGGTAGTCTTTTTTCTCTCTTGCTAACAAATCTTCCCTGGCAAGCAGCCAACGGCTGGCCCTTGCTTACAGCTACCAGAAGCTGGTGGAGATGGCCAAGCAGTGTGTAATAAGATGCGTTTTCTCTCTGGGTTGCAGGCCATGGTGAGGTTATAGGGAAGCCAGCACTGGGCCTCCAGGGAGTCAGATGCGGCAGCATATCCTCCAGGAGAGTGCTAGGAGCAAGTCACCCCCTCTCTCAGTCTAGTTTGCCTCTACCAGCGTTAGTCTGCACCAGTTCCCTAAGTATTTCCCTTGCTGCACCCTGACATACTTCAGGTGTTCTTTGCAGTCGCAAAATATTTGCTTTTCCAGTGAATGTTTGCAAAATGGAAATATTTGCTTCCCAACTAACAATGAAACCATGCTTAGGCACTTTAAGCACCAGGCCCATAGCTGCAAATAATTCCAAATAGGGCTCTATATTAGCCCACAGCCTAATTGCTCTTTATTTGGACTACTCTAATTTTGCACGTACAATTTCCTCTGAATTGTTCAGGTAAGATAGTCCATTTATACATGGAGTTATCTCAAACTACTATCCTGCTACTGCTGCTTCCAACACCTTCCTTCTGTCCCCCTCCATAAAGTTCTAGCACCTGTGTAATTGAGAGCCTGGTCTTGCAGCCCAGGGACTTTGTGATGGCTGTGAGAGCGGTGATGTTGTGAGCGATGGTGATTCTGCAGAAGGGGAACTACCAGGATTCAATCCCTCACGAGCTCATCATCTCTGTAATCTACATGCCTCCTGCTTTCTACAGGGTAAGACAATGGGAAGACGTTACCTTGGAAACAGGGAGGCTACTCCATCACCATTCAGACCAATCTCTTGGACCTCAGTTGCTCTGTCTGTAAGTGGGGAGAATGATACTTTATACTTGAAGACATCAAACGCTAAGGGGCTGTTCATGACTTGAGCCTTTGATTCCACCTCCCAGCCAAAGGAGTATGCAATTAAATCCCAAAGTGAATCTTTCTTTGGCAACCAAGAGGCCCTCTAACACACAGGCTACTTGGTCTTTCTGCTGCCCTCCCTGGTATTGGGATTGTAAGAAGTGGAGGAGCCCAGACCTTTGTCTGAGGTGGACAGAGGAAGATGTCATGAAAACTGAGAGTTACATTATCTTAAGCAGAGGGAGTCCTCCGTCCAGTCCCTCCCCCACCATCCCAGTGTGCTCACACCAGACGCGCAGTCTCTGCTCGGCACCTCTGGGCCTGCCTGCCAGGAGAGGTCTTCTCCCTGGAGAGAAACAGTTCCGCAGCGATAGCTGAACACATTCCAACAGCACATGTTTATCTCTAGGGTCAGCCTTTCCTGTTGATGCTCAGGAGGTGTGGGGGGAGAGGGGGTTGGGATAATGGCTGTTGGCAGTCACAAGGGGCAGGAGTATGTGGGCGATGGGGACACGGACCCCGCCCTTGGGAGGGTGATGTTATGATGAGGTTTCCAGACTGTGTGTGGCCACATATCTCTTTCCTCACATCAGGATGAGCTCCGGAGGTCTTCTGTTGCCAGTGAAATGAGAGGGACACTGCCTCATTCAGAGCAGGATAAGACGTGGTGGGTGGGGACCTCCAGGTGGGGGCCGTAGGAGCTGAAGCCAGGAGCATGGCAGTGTTTCCATTGTTTAAGATCTGAGCTCTGTTGGGACACAACGGGTTCTGCCTCTCTCTTTGAGCTCAGTCATTGGTGCCAAGACCTTCGGGCTCTGGCAGTGGGGCAGAGGGGACCACCCTCCCTGACGAGGCTGGGCAAACCGCAAGAGTTTGATACCCTTAGGCACCGTTTCCAGGAGCTGCACCCCCTCCCTCCGGAAAAGTATCCACCTTGCACTTATCCCCACCAGCAGAGGGCAAAGCTGAGATGCCTTCTGAGGGTTCCACTCCTGCTCTGGATGGCTTTGAGAAAGTATGTTCGCATCCAGTCTCAAGACCTTTGATTTATTCTTTATTTTCAAATGAGGTAATAACATCTTTCTCCCAGGCTGAGTTCTGGGGGGCAGGTGGGAGGAGACTGAACCATTTGGTTCCTTTTCAGCAAAAATGAATCATGTCCCCTATTACCCATCCCCCATCCTCAGCCCAGGAGTATTTACCCCTGTTTATATAACCATGGTAACAGGCTTTATTCTCTACCACTTAAAAAAAAAGATAGAAAGAAAAGTGGGAGGCAGGGCTTTTTCCTACTCTGTCTCCTACTCTGCCCAGGTGATAGAGCTATCTCCAGAACCATGTAAGAGAGAGAGCCCCCACACAGCCTGATGTTGTGTGGGCTTCTCGGGAGCAAGGGAGCAAGAAAGTTGCAATGGCCCAGCATCATAAAAATACTGCAGAGTTTCAGAGTAATTGTCCTTCAAACTCCTGTGGAGCCACACAGGAATAGTACCTCTGACTTGTCTGGGACCTCTCTTTTGACCACTGTACTGAGATTACAATCATCAGGGGTTTTTTTTCTTGCCATACCGTTGACGCTAAAAGAGGACAGAATGCAATCTGGCTTTGCTAACAATATATTCTTCATCTCTAAGATGGATTCCTCTTGTATTGACTACTTCACAGTCAAAATAGTTTTGTAAGGAATATGTGTTAGGTTCACATAGGTTTAAACCGTAAGTGAGGGAAACTGAGGGCACTAAAAGGAAACCACTTGTGCAAGGTCATACTGTGTTGTCAATGGTCCAGAAGGCCTAATCACCGAGTCTTGAATTCTTTCCAAGAGATCAGCCTGCATCTCTTGGAGTTTTAGCCATAGCCACCCTCCTCCTAACTTCCAAGAGTATTCCAGTCCGTGAGCTCACAGGATGAAGAAAACCAGGCCTGAAACTGAACCCTGAAGACTATTTTAACCACATATCCACAAACTCAGTGCCTCCTATAGCCGCCACTACTGTCAGGTGCTGGAGAGAAAAGCACTCCTCTCTGGGCTTTGGAACGCTTTTGTGGTGTTTCTCCCAGCTTAAAGCTTCCTCCGTGGACTGTATGTTAATGGCCAGTCCCAGAGGGTGCAACAACTCCAGAACTGGTTCAGTTGGGCTGGAGACCTCAGCTGGGAGCTGCAGGTGGCTTCCACTCTGAACACCGCTCGGATTGCACCCAAGGAGGCCCCTTGGGCGTCTCAGCTCACAACTGCAAGAAGGTTGGGTCCACGGCTGCAAAGCTGCGCGGACCAGTTGGGCAGGACTCGGCCGGCCCCCTCCAGGAGGGCAGAAGAAAATGAGATTTCAGGCTCTCCCGGCCTGCGCTGGAAACGCAGGAGTAGATTCTCAGCTCCATCCCGCGACCGTTGGCTTTTCAGGCCAAGCAGGATCCTAAGCAGCTGCCGCGAAGGAAGTGCGGACACCCGAGCTTGGCGAGGGGCTACGGAGACACAGGCTTCGGACTGGGTTCTGACCCACCTGTGCCTCTTCCTTTTCTCTGTCCAGCGGGTACCGCTGCCCAACTTCATCCAAAGGGGTCACTCAGGGCTAGGCCAAGAGCCGTGGGCAAGGTCCACTCTAACTGAGAACCCGGGGTTAAGTGGAGGCCATCTGACAGGACTCTGCAAAGTCTTCACTTTTAAAGATGTTCATTTTTATCTTCCCTTCCTCCTTCGCTCTCACCTCTCAGCAGCGAGAAGAAGTGGTGGCGCTACTTGCTGACACGGATCAGAACGACCACAGCGCCTGCCTTGTTTTCTGGCGCCTTCTCTTGAATCTTCAGGGTTCTGACTTGGAGACCCCTAAATTTTGCCTGGGGCAACTTTCCTCCGTTAGTTCCTTTGAAACGGCACTCTACTAATTACGCTAATTACTCTCGAGCCCTGAAACACCGCCCCCCGCCCCCCGCAGGCCAGGCCGTGCGGCGCGGCGCCAGGGCACTGGGTGGGAACCGCAGCAGGGACGCGAGCGGAGGCTGGTGTCGAGGGGTCCGGGGGAGCAGCGTCCACGCCGGCCTGCAGCCCCTCTCGGGTCCATCGGCCGCAACTCCACCGCCCAGGGCCTGGCTGGAGCTCGAACACCTCCAGTGCTTGGGCCACGCCTGTTGAAGAGAATCAGGATCTTTGAATGAATCCCGTCCTTTCCCCGACCTTACAGAGTTTCGCAAGTGGCCAGAGCAAGAGTTGGAATAACTGACTCCGGAGTACTGGGGAAGAGAAAGGCTTCCTCCCCCACCCCCTGCCCACCCTAGGGAAAGCAGCTTCCATCCCATTATTTTATATTTTCATAAAGAATCGTTACCTGAAATTACCACGTCTATATATTTTTTTTACCTGTTTATCTCATTCCATTCCTTTCCCCTATCGCATGTATGTCCTTGAGACCAGAGACCTGGCCTGTCTTATTCAGTATCCTCAGACCTACTGCATGGGCTGGAGAGCAGTAGATTCTCCATTGCTTCGTGTCAAATACGCGAATAGACGGAGAGGCGGCTCCTCGGCTCCAGGGGTGAGGACTGGACTGGGAGGATGCTACACTAGGAGGCGAGGTGGACCCACACTTTCAGAGTGCACTTTTTTGAACACTTTAGGATTTAAAAGAGCTGCTGAGTGGCATTTAGAGTGGGATGTTCCTTTTCTGATCGAAGTTTGGGTAACGAGGTTGACACTAAGGTGATCAGCTTCTGAGACCGCTACCCAGTGCCCATCCATAAGACGGGGTTCTCTCTTTAGGACCAGAGGGTCACGTGCTTTGCTGGAGGATGTCAGTAGTCTGGCGTCACGATACCTCCTGACGTGCCGGGGCCAGACCAGGTGTCCCCACGCAAGCCCCCTAGAAGCCGCGGCCCTAGTCCTGTGGACACACCCGCCCCAGGGTCCACCCACAGAAACCCAGCCCGCGCCCCCCGTGCGCTCTTTTCATTGGCTAAAGGCATCCCCCCTGAATTCTCATAGGCTGTCCCACTTTTCCCTCCGCCCCCTGCACGGACCGCGCGCCGCGAGCAGCCAGGGAAGCGGCTCCAAGTCCTGGCTTGCGAGCAGAGGCTCCGCTCCGCGCTGTGAGAGACGCGGAGCGCCAGGGCCGGGAGCCGGCCGAGCTCAGTGTCAGTGGGACCGGTGTCCCCACCCCAGGACTCTCTCGTGGAGCCGAGCCCGGCCAATGGCCGCATGAGGAAGAAGAGCAGGGAAATGGACTGCTATTTGCGCCGCCTCAAACAGGAGCTGGTAAGAGTGGAGCGGGCGCCGGGGGCTGGGAGGGCTGCCCCGCCCCGACGGGTACATGGCCTCTGCCTGGGCCCCGAGACCAGGACGCGCGCGGGGCGGAGGGGACGCGGCACGCGGGCGGAGGGCAGGGCTGTCCCGAGGGAAAGGGGCCGCGAGGAAACTTGGGGTAGAGGCTTGTGTGAGAGGGAGGCAGTCACGAACAAGTGAGAGAGACAGGGAGAGCCAAGCCAGCCCAGACCGAAATGCGTCCAGAGACCCCAAGGGAGCTAAGAGGGCGCACCCGAGACCAGGCAGAGTGGGACCCGGGGGTCCCGCACGGAAAGAGCGGGACGCGGGTGCCGGACTGCTGGGGCTGCGCGGGG